GCAGGAGGAGCCTCGTTACCCGCCGCGGCCGGGGCTGCCGCTGTGGCCTTCGCCCTTTGGTTCTTGCCTTTCTTCTCTAATAACGTAGTTCGGGGCCGAGGGGCCCGTGGCCGCCGCTGCTCCCGCGACAGCGGGGGTCTCGCGTGTCCCAGGAGGGGGCGGCAGCGGGGCCGAGCAGCCTCCCCTGCCCTGCGGCGCGGGGAAGGGAGGGCACCAGGGCTGTGAGCTCAGGCTTTACAGCAGCAAGCGCAGTTCCCGGTGGTGCCTGCAGGTGCCTGGTGCCTCTGAGGGAAACTTTTTTTTTTTTTTTTAAATTTAGTATCCTTCTGACAAAGGTTGGAAATCAGCATGTTAGATGTTTTCAAGGACACTTTCAAGCTGCAGGGGCATCCTTGTTAATGCAAATCTTCCAGTGCGGGGCACGAGGAGCTGCTTCCAATTCATGTGCTAATGTTAACGAGGCTGAAAAGCATTTGATGCTTTGTGTTTTTTAAGAAATGAAACCAAGGGGAGTCCTGAAGTGAGTGCAGGGAGCAGAATTTGATACAGTAGCGTTAAGACCTAATCTGGGGCTCCTAAGGCCTAAGATGGGGGAAAAAATGGAAAGGTGAGTTAGCAGTTAATCTTTTCTTACATGGTTTCAGAGTTTGTAGCTGTCTTGAAATAGAGAATTAAAGAGTAAATGCTCATCAGAATATATTGAATTATGCTTTTAGATATAATTACGGAAATACTTTTGCAGGGCATGAGAGTATTATGAGTTCTTTTCCTCCAAAAATCTGTTCTTGGATGCAGCTCACACTGCTTGGTCAGTATATATGCTGCTCTATATTTATGCACTAAGGGATGGAATCACAGTACCTAAACTTTAATTTGAAAATGGCATGTATATTTGCAATCTGGACATGGTGGGAACTTGAGGTATTAACTTTGAGTTGCTTTGAAAAAGGCTTTAGCAAGGGTGCTAAATGTGTGCTAAGTTTGAGAGATACTGTTGATCTTCCTGAGTTATCACACAGCCTATCAAACCTCAAAGAGATGCAGCTTCTATGTGCTGTGTTTATGAGAAGTGTGCCTTGGTGGGGTCCTAGCAGCACATCGGCTATTACCATCTGTAAATGCAATTCTGTTACCAACAGCAAAAAGCTGTTGGTCAAGGAACCAATGGCAAAGCAGAATTCTGCTTTTTTTCTGCAAGTCTTCTTTAGATGCATTTAAATACCAGAAAGATGTGAAGTGCAAGTAATTTCTCCTAAGATTTCTCCTGAAGCAGGTTAAGCTAGCGATCTTTTGACCAATATATTTAATCTTGAGATCAGTGATTTGCTAGTTAAATTCAGTAGTAGGAATGTTAAATCTGCATGTGAGCAACTGATGTAAGTTTTTACTTAGTAATCAAACCCATAATTCTTTGGCATATCTCTTTTCTTTGTCTTTTATGGGTAGATTGGTATCTGCTTAACTATTAGTTTTAATAGCCACTACTGCCAGTAAAACAATGTAATTATATCATGATTTATACTGCTATTAATCTTACCAGTTTTACACAGGAAAAAAACATGCAGTCACTGGCCTGCGGGCTACTGGAAGCCTTTTCTGCTTCGTGGACTGTAAAATTTGGTCTTCTGTCTTTCTTTGTCATGTCAGATTAGGCCTACGCTCCTGGTCCTGAGGAGGAAAGGTAAATGTTGATTCTCTTGAGCTGAAGACCCTTGTTCTTAAATTGAAAAGGTCTGAAATATCATTCTCAAAATGACAAGTCCTAGAATATACTCCCATATAAGTAAGTGGCAATATATTCTCTCTATGTTCTATCCTGTATTTCTATATAGCCATAAAAATAATAATAGCCTTGAAAGAGGGATTGTTTGTCACTTTGCAACTAAGTTGCTTACTGATTTCTGAAACACATTTTTTTGGTTTACATTAAGTTTTATCAAAAATACACTGCTGCTTCAGTTAATGGACTTAGAAAAGCAGCACAAGATAATTTCCAGGTGTGTGTTTTAAGAGTATTGGTACGTCCAACTGCAGTTACAATAGCAAAGACCTCTTCAAGTACAAATAGATCAAGGTGAAGATCTTTCTGTATAGCTAAAGAATAGTGGAGAGGACTATACCTAAGATGGGGGAAAAATATACAATAGTTGCAAATGCAGTTAGATGAACAGTAGGTACTTCAGAATGTGTGAAGGAAAGAATAATTTAAAAAATAATTAAGACAAAGGAAAATGAAATAAAGTGCTGTATTGGTTAATTAACGGAAAATTAGTCTATGTCATTTAGTCTTTATTTGTGTTCTGTTTTTGTTGCCGTTTTGTTTTTGTTTTGATAGGATAACTGGTTTTTCAGGAAGAGAAAATTTAGTTGATCTAATCTAACCAGAAATCTTCAAAATAAGAAAAGATTCTTATAGAGCAAATTACAAGGATTAGGAGATGATTGTTAGTTGTGAAAGGAATTGGTTAAAGAGGAAATGGGTGTTTAGTTTGTGGGGTCACACAGGTGTGTATATTGGTGGACTAAGCTGATGGACTACCTATCAAGTATATTGATGAGTAGGTGGAGATTACTAACGGAGTTTCTTAAATATTGTAAACTAAACTTATTTCAAACATTCATTAATGACTGTGACACAGTATGGGATTTGCAGCTGACAAAGTTATTAGTACAGAGGGGAATTACGATATTATGCAGATTGAAAGGACTTCGAGGCTGAAATAATGGGTTGAAATTTACTTATCATAGAAAGTGCAGGACTACTCAGTGAAGGCTAATACTGGAAATTTAGACTGTATTTCAGGAGCTAATTCATTTTAGATGACTGTGGAAGAGAACAACCTCATGTATCATTTGATCACAAGATAAGTGTGAGCTGCCAATCCCATACATTTGGTAAGCTAATTCCTGAAGCTATTCATTTTCCGTAGAAGGCACTGCTTCCCTGCAACTGCTATCTCCAATACTACATACAGCTCTGGTCACCTTAGTTCAAGAGAGGTGAGGCTGAACTGCAGCAGGTGGGAGGAGGCCAGTCCCGGTGACGGGGAGGATCGAGAGGCTGCTTTGTGAGGGGAGGATAAATGCTGAGCTTTGCTCGCTGAGCCCAGGTTTGGAGGAGGTGCGACTGCCATCTTTACATAGCAGGAAAGGAAAAATGCTTTAAAGTACAATGCTGGCACTTGAAGAAAGTAGGTAAACTGGCCAACAGTAATTTTAGGTAGTAAATCTGAAGTTTCTATGGCAACCCGTGAGTAAAGAATACTCAAAGGCAAAAACTGGTTAGTTTTAATATCGAGTTTGTCTTGTTTATGACTGGCAATGTTCACTGTTGTCATAGCAAGGAACTGGACGCATTGGCTCCCTTTGTATTGGGAATATGAACTGTGTGCTGGTGCTTGGCTCTTAGGCAGGCTGGCGTGACCACCTCCATACAACTCCCTTGCCCTCCTGTAAAGGGCACTTGTAACCTTACTTTCTACAGGAAAAAAATATTGTCTAGATTGGTGCTAATTCCTGACCCAAATGAAGGGGCAGTTAGGGAGCATTTGTGCTGGCCTCAGGGACCATCCTGGCAATATAAACAGTAGGGAGCTGCAGCTCTTGGGCCCATGCCCAATACTGGTTAATTTATGTAATGGGTTCCAGAGATTTCTGTGGTTCCCTGCTCTTTGTTAGGAGCTGAGAAGATTCCCCATATAATATTGTAGAGGTCTCCATAGTTAATATTGACATATTGAGACTTTGCTATTGTTTTGATTTCTAAAATGTAAACAAATATTCTCATGTGAATACTTCAAAAGCTAGTAAATGTGGGTGAGAGATGTGTATTAAGACAAAAATATTTAAAAATCACTTAAACTTCATAAAGATATTTAGAATTAAATTCTACTCCAGATAAAAAGTTTTACAAATAGCTGGAAGGTCTCAGGAAAACAGTGCTGTATATTTGGTGCTGTTACTCCATCTTCATGCATGTGCTGTTATCTGCTTTTGGAGGTAGAACAGCAGATTAGATGTAACAGGAGAGCTTATTTTTCTTAAAAAAAATGCAGTGATTGTAATCTCACAGATGTCATACAACCTAAAAAAAAAGAGATACCTTCATGCACATATAAAATAATCTTAAACCCTTTTTGTGCCATAGATCTTACTGGAGATTACTAAATTACAGGGAAGAATATTGGAGAATGGTTCACAGGTGAGGAAAGCACAATGTGTACGTTCCAGTGTTTTCCCTTATTAATTAGGGAAAACCTTTTTAATTATATAGCTGGTACAAAGAGTTGACAGAAGCGGCAAAAGAACAACATTTTTTTTTTCAAATGAAAATGGGACAATGAGCAACAGTTTCTTAGCAACAAACTGGAAATTTTGCTAAATAATGTTTTTTATCTTACTGAAATTTGCCACATTTCAAGAATTATTCTAAAATAGTTTTTTCTGTGGGGTTCTTTTAGGTTAACATTCTTGCACGTTTGTCTCCCCATGAAGTTGGATGTCTTTGGTACCTTTTTGTTTGGCTGGTTTCATTTGTTATTTTGTTTATTTTTGAAGAGTAGTTTTAACAAAACATCCACCTTTGAATGAGACCTCTTATAGGCAAACCAGCTCTTCTCCGTTTCATTTTCTTGACGCAGCATTTCCACATCAGGAACTTTATCTAGATTGTGAATTGAAAAACAAATCTCAGTCATGCTTCTAGTGAAGCTGAAGTACTGTGGTCTAAAATGAAAGATAGGAGATAGTGGTTTAAGCATGAAGCAAGGAAATTGGCAGAAATGTATGTATTAGATGGAAGATCAAAGCTGCATTTTTGAAAGGTCTGGCGAACAGCAAGAGCCATCTTGGTGATAGCAAACAGACTGAATCAACTTCCACACACTCAATCTGGGTGCTGAGTCCTGGCAGAACTGTGATTACGCAGTGCATGAATTTCATAGTGAACAGTAGGAGGGAGGCACTACAGCTTTGTGAAATACTAAATCAATATTAAAAAAAGAAATAAAAGGAAATGTTTATTATAGAATTAAATGTTTATTTTCTTTATTTAATGAAATTTTAAAAATGAAATATTCTATTAAAGATTATATGCTAAAATAGGCTATAAAGCTGCTTGAAGCTGAAAAACAAAATTTGAGTTGATTCAATGTATTACTGTTTTCTCTGTTTTCTTTTCTGAAAAAAAAGCGGATTTTGTTGTTGTTGTTTAGACTTGGCCACTGCATAGAAAACTCCAGCATTTAGCCCAGGGTGCACATTCTTTCTTTGAAACCCTTTTTTTGGCAGGTCCTTCTGTATCCTCCAAAACAGGTCTTTTACATCCCAATGGATTTAGACATTGCAAGACATTGAGACCTTCTGTATTTTCAAGTTCGCTGTGAATAATTTCATTTACAGATTAATTCTTTGGAAGTGGGTAACAGTTAAAGGAAGAATCACAAGCTTTTTGGAGTAGTGTCTAAAATGTAGACACCTGAAGCCCTAGAAAAGGATGGGTAAGGAACAAGGTGGAGTAGAAATGAGTCTTCACTATAAACTCACTGCCAAGTATGTCAAAAGATTAAAACTGAATAAACCCTACAACTTTAGGATTACTTTAAAAGCATTCATTAATTGAGTAACCTGCTTTATGCTTATAAAACCAGAGGTTTCTTGTGAGTGATTCTGTTTTGGAAAGAGCCCTGGCAGTGGGCTGGGGCACAGGGAAGGTCTCCTGGAACACTCCTTAGGCCAAGGGCATCGTGGCAGTGGAAAGGGGCCCTGTGGGGACCCTAGTGGTGGAAGAGCTCATGGAGGCTGTGGGAGTGGAAGGGGATTCTTGTGGAAGCCACAGGGGTGGAAGGGGAACCCACAGAGGCCAGGATGGAGGAAGGGGATCCTTGTGGAAGCCTTGGCAGTGGAAGGGTGAAGGGAGATTCCCCATGGAGGTCATGGCATGTGGAGGCTCTTCCCCCTGGAAGAGGATTCCCTATGGAGGTCATGGTGGTGGAAAGGGAGCCCACAGGCCATTGTGGAAGGCGATCCCTGTGGAGCCATGGCTGTGGAAGGGTGAAAGGAGATCCCTATGGAGGCCACGGTGCTGGAATGGGATCCCTGGGGAGGCCACGGTGTCGCAAGAGGAGCCCCTTGCGCTGCCCACGGCGAGGGAAAGGGGAAGCTCGGCGGGGCCGGCTGCGCTGCGCGACGCCCCCGTCAGCGGGGGCTGCGTGCGGCGGGACGGGGCGGCCCCC